AATTTTCTGTACTTAGGTTGGTTTTACATTTTAATGTTTTGACTGAAATTATCTTTAATAAAAAGCTGGATTAATTTTTATCTAAGAAGATAATCATCAGTGAGTATTCCACAGCTCCATGTCCATTCCATATTTTTCTTTACAGTGCAAAACATTTTTAAATTCTGTTTGCTTTTTTAAAGTTTTAAAATTTCTGGCTAGCTTATTGTCTCTTGAAATTACTCAGAAAAGTGCATAGCATTTGCTCTTTAAAACAGGTTTGTTTTAAATGTTCAATGCATTTTCTATGCAATAACAATTGGGAATTATTAAGATATAGCATTTGATGAATCAGAGGTAAAGAGAAAAAAATGAGTGTTGTAGCACAGAAACCCTGTCAACATACTAGATGCAATGACCATGTAAAACAACCTTCTATGACGAGCCCATGAAACGCTTTAAGTTTGTGTTTGGGATATTTTTGTAACCTTTTCAGATGTAAGTTATATAAAATATATTCGACATCACCAAACTGTTCCCGCAGGCTGTTGTGTTGATACAGCAGAAATAATTCTGAAAACACAGTATATTCTAATGAAGTAGTTTGTTTTAATGCAAAACTTTGGTGATGCCCACTCTTGCCTCACAGTACAAAATCATTCACTAAGCCTGGTTAGTGACATCACATTGCTTTTCACACTCCTGTCATCTTATGCTTTAAGTTTGCTTTGATGTTTGTTGAGTATCAGAGGATTGAATCAATGATTTCACTCTCAGTTTAGTATTCTAAGAGAAAATGTGGAGGTAAATATGACCATAGTAGGTATTTAAAACACTTAGTTTTATCTTAACTATCTGGGTCTATTTTTTTTTTCTGTGATTAAAGAGACACTGTCAGCACAATTTTATAAAAAAAAATTGACAACACTTTAAATAGCGCATCTGGAGATTCTCTTTTTTCTTTTACTTTTTAATGGAAAAGTTAGTGTTACGGGATTTTTGTCTCCTTTATTGCTAAGGGACTCTTCAGTAAGTGATAAAGTACACAAGAAAATGTTGAACCTGTCTGTCTACACAGAAATGCACAGAAAAATGAACTGCTAATAAATATATTTGAGTTTCAGAAATCTCTGGAACTTAAGGTAAGTGCAAAAGTTTAGGATGGAAATTTTATCCTAGTTGATAGTGTCTCTGTAGACATTAATTTTAATTCCTTTTCTGATTCTGAAACCACTGAAAAAGTTTGAGTTGAGTGCCATATGTGAACAGAATGTAACCATTGATTCAGTTCTCTATGTTTATATATAATGCATGATCAATTGTTATATAAATTTGCTGCTGTTAATATTCTTGCCATTACAGCAATTCTGACTATTGAACTGTTCTTGGCATTGCAGTGGACTAAAGAGGATGGACATAGAACTGCCACCTCTGCTGTCCCTAACCTGTTTGTTCCATTGAACACTAACCCAAAGGAGGTCCAAGAAATGAGGAACAAGGTTTGTAACTGCTGTTAAATAATTAAATTTGCCATCCCTTCAAGTGGTGTACTTGTAAAGAGCTAATAATTTTGCAAAAATCAAAAGCATGGCTTCTTTATTGTCCTTCCTGTGATAACTAGAGGTAGAAACAGTTGCTATATGTTCTTGAACTAAGCTCGGTAGCATTTTGTCACCTGCTCCCTTAGAACCAAGAAGGGATTTAAACTGTTTAAGGAAGCATGTGCTAAAAGCCCACAGCTAAATGTATTTTTTAAAAAGTGGTCATGTCAGAGGGTTAGATATGGGGGTTGTAGAGGGCGAAATTACAAGAAGGAAATTAGTGGGGGAATCTGTCCTCTTAGATGTCTGTATTCAAATGTAAGAAGCATGGGAAATGAACAGGACATATTAGTGTATAAACTAAATGTTATCTTAGTTGGCATCACAGGAACCTGGTGTGGTAAGTTTCATATAGAGGGATATAGCTTGATCAGGAAGGACAGGCAGGGTAAAAAGGGAGGAGATATTGCATTATACCTCAAGAATGTATTAAACTTGTTCTCTGGTCAAGAAGAAAATGAGAGGGAGGCATATCTGGATTAAGATAAAAGGAGATTAAAAGATAGAGGTCATGTTCTGGCATGGGTCTACAGTAGACCACCAAATCAGGAAGAGGTGATGGATGAAGCATTTCTAAAAGAAATAACAGGAATAACCCAAAATACAAAACTTGATACTAACGGGAGACTATAACTACCCTGACATCTGTCAGAAAAGTAATATGGCAAAAGATAAAATTCCTAGTAAATTCTTGGAATTAATTAGGAGACCATATTTTGTTCCAGAAAGAAATTAACCCAGGAGATAGCCATTTTAGATTTGATTCTGGACAACAGGCAGGAAATGGCTGCAAATCTGAAAGTGGAAGGTAATTTGGGAGAAAATGATCATGAAATGATTGTTTTAATAGTTCTAAGGAAAGGAAGGAATAAAACAAGGACAGAGGACTTCAGAAAAGCAGGCTTTTAACAAATTCAGATAAATATTAGGTAGAGTTCCATGGAAAGAAGATCTAATAAAAAAGGTTGAGAGAGAGAGTGCACTTCCTCAAGACACTATTAAATGCGCAACTGCAAACTGTTCCAATGTGAAGGAAAGATAAGAAGAATTGATCTTTAATTACCTGAAAATCCAGAAAGTAATTCTATGCTTAGAGGAAACAGGAACAAAATCAGAAAGGCTAAGGCACAAAATGAGTCTAGAAAGGGCCATAAACAATTAAGAAAAGGTTCTTTAAATACACTAGGAGCAAGAGAAAAATGTACATGATCTGCTCAGCAGGGGGAGAGCTAGTGACTTATGACCTCAAGAAAGGTGAGATGTTTACTTCACTCTTAGCAGAAATGATTAATGATAACTTATTCTTAATATTAACTGTATTGAACATTTAGAGAAGGTGGAATGTAAACCAAAATAAGGAAAGGTTAAAAAAAATATTTAGAGAAGTTAGATGTATTCAAGCTGACAAGGCCTGATGAAATTTATCCCAGGTGACTTATGGAAGTAGCTGAAGCAATTTTGAAACCATTAGCAATTATCTTTGACAATTCCTATATGACAGGTGGGTTCTCATAGGATTAGAGATAGGCAAACATAGTACCTATATTTAAGAAAGTAGAGAAAGTCTATGGGGAGTTATAGACTAACCAACAACTTCAATACCTGGAAAGATACTGGAATAAAATTTGAAACAATCAGTGTATAAGTACCTGGAGTTAGAATAGGACTATAAGGAACAGCTGGCATTGATTTGTCAAGCACAAATCATGCTGCACTCATCTAATTTCTTTCTTTGACAGGGCTAGTGGCCTGTTTATGGGAGAGTCAATAGATGTGATGTATCTTTATTTTAATAGGACTTTTGACACAATCTCACAGGACATTCTCCTAAGGAAACAAGGGAAATGTGATCTTGATAGAATTATTAACATAAGGTGAAAAACTGATTGAAAGACTGTAGTCAGAGTAGTAATCTATGGTTCTCTGTCAGACTGAGAGGGTGTTTCTAGAGGGATCTCAGGGGTCACTGCTTGGTCTCGTGGTATTCTGTATTTTTAATAACGACTTGGAGATAGGAGTGAAAATTATGCTTATATAATTTGCAGATGACAGCAAGCTGGGAGGTGTTGCAAGACTTTGGGGGGATAGGATTAAAATTCAAAATTACCTTTACAAACTCTAGAAGTGGTTGGAAATCAAAGATTAAAGGAGGAGTGCAAAATACTTATGAAAGAAGAATCAAATGCATGACTACAAAATGGCAAATACCTAGCTAGGAGTTAGTACTACATAAAAGGATCCTGGGGTTATAGTGGATCACAAATTGAATATCAATCAACATGATGCAGTTTCAAATTAAAAGTGAAATATTCTGGGATATGTTAACAAGAACATTGTATGTAATATAGCGAAAGTAATTGTCACACTGTACTTAACAGTGGAGCTAGAGTACTGTGTCCACTTCTAGGTACCAAGTTTTAGAAAAGATGTGGATACATTGGAAAGAATGCAGAGCAGAGGATCAAAACTGATAAAAAGGTTTAGATACCTTGGCCTATAAGGAAAGATTTTTTAAAAATGGACATGTTTAGTCTGGAGAAGAGAAGGTTTTTGGGGAGGAGACTAATAGTTTTCAAGTACATAAAAGTTGTCACAAGAAGCAAGGTTCTCTTTAACTTCCGAGGATAGGACAAGAAGCAACAGGCTTAAATTGCAGCAGAGGTGGTGGACATTAGGAAAAGCTTTCTAAACTGGCAGGGTAGTTAAGCAATGGAAAAAAATTGCCTCAAAGTTGTAGAATCTCCATCATTGGAAACTGTACAGAGCAGGTTAGACAAACATCTGTCAAGGATCATCTAGATTCGGGTGGGCAGACAATAGGCCATGTCCAGTTTGTCTGACCTTTTTAATCCAGCCCTCCAAAGTCCATTTTCCTGCTCTGGTATTCCAGCTAACTCAGGGGCTTGGCCTCCTCTGGTGTTTTAGACAGGGAGTGGGGTTGAGGGCTTGCCTCTCTTCTACGTGCTCATATTCACAGCCTGCCAGTTATGGCCCTTTGACTCTGTGATTCAATGTTTAGACTTGAGAAAAGACAACTGAGAGGAACCTGATAAATATTCAAATATGTTAAGGGATGCTGTAAAGATTATGACCAGTTGTTCAAGTCCACTAAAGGAAGGACAAGAAGTAATGGACTTAATGTGTAGCTAGGGAAATTGATTAGGAAAATGTTTCTATCTTAAAGGATAGTCAGATTCTGGAACAGGCTTCCAAGAAAGGTTGTGGAATCATTGTTGTTAGAAGTTTCAAAAAAAAAAAAAAATAGGACAAATACCTGTCAAGGATGATCTAGGTGACTTGGTTGTGCCATAGCTCAGGGGTTGCACTTTATGACTTCTTGGTCTGCCTTCTAGATTTACGTTTCTGTGATTCTAAGGCAATGTTCCTTAATCTCTTTGGCACTGTTTCCCCTCCTCCTTTTTTAAATGGCAATAGACAAAAAGAAAATTACGATTTATCATTTTTATTGTATTTTGTTGTCTCAGATATTATGTTGAACAAAATTGAACACCTATTGTTTTTTAAACTTGTTACCCCCTGAAATATGCCAAATTACCCCGCATAAGTAATTACTCCTGGTTAAGAACCACTGTTATAAGGCCTTGTTTTAAGATTTTTCAATAAAATTTATGTTGACACCCAAAAGTCAACAAAATAAAAATCACCAAAGGATGCTCATACTTGTTACCTCTGTCAACAGATCATGACCGCAATGGGGAGAACTATTTGACAATTTGAGCAATGCACAGAGTAGGTATCCCACAGTGCAGTGTTGTGGGGGAAGGCAGAGCTGAGCATTTTGGAATTGCCTCTGAGTTCTCCCACATCCTCCTCAACTCCCAGGAGTGTCGTCATGAGTAGCTCTGTGAGCACTCTGTGTTGAGGAATGTCAAAACAGCGCAGCACATTCTGTCCCCCTCTCCCTGCAGCAGCAGTCTGCCAGACACTGTGTTCCTAAGTACAGGACAGAAGAGGAGCATTCCAATGATTTGCTCTTTGTTTCTTCCCCAAAAGGCGCAGCTCACTCAGCTGTCAAATACTATCTGGAGCTGTGAAAGGACAGGGGTGCAGGGCAGCAGCGGTCAAAAACACTGAGCACAGTCATCAGAAAGGGCGTTGTGGGATACTCGCAGAAGCCAGTTGTCTCTTTGTAGCTAGCAAACGAAGGGAAAAAAGAAAAATCTCTTGTAGGGGTGGAAGTTCTTTGTGACTGAAAATGGCAAAAAGTTGCATTGCAATTTGTATGCTTTTACTGTTTTGTTGCCAAAAGGCAGTTTCTGGTGACAAAACTTGATAGCGTAGACAAGGCCTAAGATAGAGACTTCCATTATCTCCTTATAAATAAGATGCAAGTATAAACATACAGTGTAGCCAAACCCGGTTAGTTTAACCTTAATTTTGCTTTTCAGGTATAGTGGTAGATTTTTCGTCAGCAGCTCAAAGAGGCAGATACGAGATTGTTTGTATCACCTGAGATCACTTGTTACTGCTTGGCCAGCTTCTATGCCTGCTTTTCAGTTATAAATTCTAGGTAGATTCTTTCAGAAGTGAGCCACATATGTGACATTGCTTTTTATTGTTAATTATGATAGCATCTGGGGACCAATCAAGAAAGTGAGCTAAGCAAGGTGCAGTCCCTGCCCAAATGAGTTTGCAATTTTAATAACAAGGCAGAAAAAGAATAGAGGAAAATGATTAATCATCATGGTCATGCTGTGTTCTTTTAAATTTTTGTTTTTGGTGCTTTTTATTTATATTTTAGGAAAGAGTTTAGCTAAATATGTATTATTCTAAAATGGAATAATGAAGCACAGAAATACAGATATTTTGTTCTTTAGATGTTGCATTATAGTTAAACATCCTTATCCCCACTTCCCAGATTTGTTGAGCCAGTTACACATTTTAAAGTAGGACTGTTAAGCAATTAAAAAATTTAATCGCAGTTATTCGCATGCACTTCCCCTTTGAAACGCTGCTGTGTTGTTTCAATGAGGCAGTGCTGCATGGAGCTCAGGATCAGCCAGAGTCCCCATGTAGGACACGATCTGTTTAGTTTATTCTACAGCAATGAGATTTAGGTTAGAGATTTAAAAAAAAAAAAAACTACATGCATGCACACACTTTCTAGCTACAAAGGTTAGCCCTTGTATAGACTTCCAAATGAGGTTATGCATTCCCTGTCATTGGAGGTTTTTAAGAATAGGTTAGACATACACTAGTTAAGGATAGCTAAAGTTTACTTGGGTCTGCATCAACATACGGGTCTTCACAAGATGTCCTCTCAAAGTCCCTTTCAGCCATACATTTCTTTGATTCTATTTTAATAGCACTTCCTCTTGGCTTTGGAATTATTCTCTGTGGGAATATAGTTATGGAATATGTGTAAACTAAAAGGTTAAATATGGTAAAAGACTGATTTGGAATGCTCTGATGCCCTTCTGAAATGGCTTTCTTTGCTGTCTGATCAATCTGGTTTAATCCCATAAAAGGAAGGGAAATGCATGTTGTGGTACCTATATACCAAACGGGTTGGGATGTAAGAAATTTATATCAGTAGAATCCTAGGGGGAGATCCTCCAACTAATGTAAATTGTCATAGCTCCATTGATGATAGAGGAGCTATGATGATTTATACAAACTCAGGACCAACCTCTAAATCCTAGCTGAAAAAGACTTTTTGTTTTGTCCCTCTCCTCTTTCAACTGATGGGTTTGTCTACTGTTGACATGTATTGATCCTGCTGTTTTCTTCACAGATCCGGGAGCAAAACTTACAGGATATTAAAACTGCTGGTCCTCAGTCACAGGTTCTTTGTGGGGTAGTAGTGGACAGGAGTCTTGTACAGGTGAGAACACAGAGTGTCATAAAACCTAATATTAAAATTAATGTGTGGTATCCTCTCTTTTCACCTAATATGTCACTATAACATTATTCTTTGATTGGCAGAGAGTAACTATGTACAAGGTAAGTGTTAGAGATAGCACCATTGTCTTTGTGAAAGTGCACAGGGTCAGAAATATAAGAGGCTTCAGTAGTGCAGTTGAAGCATGTCCATGAGAGATTATCATTGATTTATTGCTGAATGTAGTGCATGAAAATTTGAAAAGGCTATTTATATGGGTTAGAATCCCACTCAAAACTAGTCAGGCTTTGTAACATCTTGGATATTTTTCAAGTTAATGTACTTTTAAAATATAAGATATTGGAAACAGCAAAGTCAATTTTGTCTAATGTGTATTAAATATATTCTGATAACTTGACAGTAACTTGTTTGGAGATCAGTTAAAAAAATTGATATTGTTGTGTATCCACAATAAAATCCAATAAGCCAAAAACTGTATTTGGTTCACTAAGTAAATAGACTTTCTTTGAATTATTGTTCAAAATAAGAATTTAAGAGCTGTCTAGCCAGCTACTCAGCAAAGTGTGCACACTGATCATTTAAAAACTTACATCTCCGTAAATATGAGTGATATAATTGGCATTAGATAAGTATTTTCTGATGCACTATATGAAGTTTGACTAGTCATATCATGAGCAGAGCATTTTTCAGTCTGGTTATGATGTTTGTGTGCATGTCAGTTCATTATCAGTGCTGTTATATCTACCATTTACTGTTTCTCTGCATGTTTATTGCCAGTGTCTTAATGCTCTTGGTTGATGTGTTAAAGCCTGGGCTTGGTTTGCTCTGTTTACTCAATTTACTGTTGCAGGATGCTCCCCTCTCAGACTGTACGGAAACTATTGAAGGGCTCGATCTCACAGAGCAGGCCTTTAGTCCCGCTAAATCTCTCTCTGTTAGAAAGGTACTTACTGCCCTGTCATACTGCTCTAAATACTGTTGTTCACCATTCACTTCTACCTCTTCTTATTCTGCCCTGTTACTTATATTAGCTAAAGAGTTGGCTTTAAAAGAAAGTCTAGATGGATGTACAAATGATTTATGTGCCATTTGACACAGTTAAATTACCCTTTTAAAGTACCTCTTAAAAATTTTGAGTTCTTTTTATATATTCAGACTGGTGAATAACATAAAAGTGTGTGTGAAGTTTAAAGGCTTATCGGGAGTTCTGCATGTGGTGTTTGGTCTGCGCATGTCATCAGTGTTAAATAATCCTAATTTGAGAACATCCATTTTGAGCTAGTCTAGTCTTAGCCTGATTGTCAGTGCAATTCCAGTGATAGCCACAGGTGGAAGGTTTACCAAGCTGACTTTAAAAACAAAAGTGATTGTAAGGCTTCTATGCTGCAAGGATACTGGGTGCCTCCTCCTATCTTCTTATAACAGGAGTTGAGATGCAGGGGATGCTCAGTGCTACTCAGGGCTAAGTCCTAAATACATGAATTATCAAGTGGTTAATGAATAAGCAGTATCTGTGGCATTGTATGCCGTATAATTAAGATATAATTACATCTAAAATGTGCATTGGGCTTGCTTGGGAGGCTAAGTGAATTTGGAGTAATTTCCACAATGGAAATTCTTCAGTCTACTCTTGATGGAGTTCTTTGGAAGCAGTTCAGTATGGAACTTCATCAGGTAGAAATGTATTGCTTCCTTTTTTATCTCTGTCCCTTATCTTCTCCATCAAATTCTTAAATCAGCTGGAAGCTAAATAAATTTTGCCACAAGTTTACTCTCTCTGTCATCATATTTAATCTATTAGGAATTGAATAATTTGAAAGGTATAGTTTTTGCAAGTCCTGTGATTTTTTTTTTAACATGTCATCTGTGATCAGCCATTCTGTGTTGTAGATACATCATACACATAATACTGAGAACTTGGTAAACTCTGGTTTTCAGGCCAAGATTCATGTTCTTGACAGAAGGTATCATCTTCTGAAGGGAAGAGTAATTAATTTCTCTTTCCAGATTTAGACTAGAGAATAAAAACCCCAAACTAAACATTTCAAAAGCAATGACTGTCCTTCACTTTTCTATCTTATAAGCTCAGTTATCATAATTTCAACAGTGGTGGTCTTAAAGAAAAGAGAATCCATGTGTCATCAAAATAAATGGTAATAATTTTACCAATGAAATGCAATATTTAATTTAAGTTCTTATACAGTGTTTGACTAGTTGCTGCACTCTTGTGATGAAAGTATTCACAATTATTTTGCAAGGATTTAAAAGTTAGCAAGGGCAAGAAGAATGGACAGAAGTGTTTAATATGATTTTAACAGTATATATGTTGGCAAAATATCCAAATGAAGAGTGTTTTCTCCTCTTACTGGTGTCATTAAAATCCTATGTGAAATGATGCAATATTAGCCATCTGGACATATAGAGTAGTCATTATCTACCTACCTCATTATCTTTGTATAAAACAAGACTTGGGAATTTGGGACGTGAAGAATGTCATTGATAGAGAGCAAGTGATGCAGATAGATTGTGCTAAAAATCTAAACACAAACTTTATATATTTCCTCTATTTAAGATTTTGCAGACCGAAAAATCCTTATAGAAATATAATGCTCAACCAATCAAACTTCAACTAATACAAAATATTCCATGTATTATGGTTCCCCCTCTATATTGGAGAATTAGAGAGTCTTCTTTTGTCAATTTATTTTTTATAAAATGGCACTCAAAGTAATAGCAAAAAACTGCTATCTGAGTAGCATTTAAAAAAATTAAATATTCAGTGAACATTGGGATATATATCAGTTACACATTAATTTGTGGGAGAAAATTCCAGTGTTACATACAAAATATAAAAGTAATCGTTTAAATCCTGTCTTACCTAGAGCTGCACTGATAAATTCTCTCATCAAATGCTTTGATGTTCTGAGAAATATACACACACACGGCTCAACAAACCGTGGTGAAATCCACTCACCAGCCCTGAACTGTGCATGCACCAGACTGGCATTGCACATGTGCACGCCACCGGTGAATGGGGCAACCGGCTGAAATCTAGTCACCATGGGCAGTAGATACACTGATTTGTCGAGCGCTGTGTGTGTGTCTAAATATAAAATAAGAAATGTACATCTGTCACTCTGCCTCCTAAATGGTAAGAGCTAGGACCACCAAATGTGGTATGTAGCTTCCTCTTCTAACTTAAATCAAGTGTAACCCACACACCTAGGCTATGTCTACACTCGCAGCTTCTTGCGTGAGTAATACGCAAATGAAGCTATTGGTGGAATATTGCCGAGCCTCATTTGAATACCTAATGTAATGAGCCACCATTTTTTCAGAAGAGACTCTTGCACAAGAAGGAGCATCTATATTGCCCCTTCTTGTGCAAGAAAAACCCTCTTGGGCAATGCCGTTACACCTATTACTTTTCAGAAAGAACGTCATTGTGCAAGAGGGTTTTTCTTGCGCAAGAAGGGGCAGTATAGACACTCCTTCTTGTGCAAGAGCCTCTTCTGAAAAAAAGGTGGCTCATTAGGTATGCAAATGAGGCTCGGCGATATTCCACGTTTAGCCTCATTTGCATATTACTCGCGCAAGAAGCTGCGAGTGTAGACATAGCCCTAGTGTGGTTCACTGTCCCACGCAGTGGCATCTAGACCACAGCAACAGATCAAAACAAGAGACCTCTACAGCATGAGTTGAGAGCCAGCTGGCTTTTAGCTCAGAGGTAGAGGTTCCTTTACTAACCTTCAGAGGTCCCAGATTCAAATCCACCTGGTGGTGGTTACAAGTAGGGGCTCAATCAGGATCTCAACTGGGTCTCTGAAGCTTCAGAGGCACTTCCTTGCCCAGGGGAAGTATGTAACCCACACACATGTAACCACAATGTGTGGTTCATTGTCCCATGCAGTGGTGCCTAGACCACAGCAACAGATGTAAGACAAAGAGACCTCAACAGCATGGGCTGGGAGCCAGCTGGCTTTTAGCTCAGAGGGTAGAGGCTCTAAGCTCCAGAGGTGCCAGGTTTACATCTGCCTGGTGGCAGTTAAACAAAGTCAGGGTTTGGTTGCGCTAGGATCAAATGGAAAGAGGTGTGATGACAGGGACAGTTATACTCACACATGACCACAGGGGGACAGCAAGGATGAAGGCAGGAATCACCACAGGGGGGCACCACCTGCCACCCAGAGCAGCCCTGGGGAGTGCTTGCAGGAGGCCTGTGTGTGTCTTGTCTCCCTCTACCACCCCTCCCCCTGGGCAGGCCCTGGGATCAAGCTGGCAGGCAGGGTGTGCAGCCCCACCCAGAAGAGAAAGCTGAAGGACAGGTTGCGCAGTCCCCCTTTGTCCCAAGGGCAAGCCAACGGGCAGGGTGCATGGCCTGTGCTACTCCAGGCTACCCTTGGGGAGAAACCAGTGGCCACCCACTCTGAGCCCTCCCTACTGAGCACAACTATTGGTCACTCGTGCCTTGAGCCCTCACTCCCTCTGCACTCTCTCAACCCTCTGCCCTTACTCCTCTGCCCCTTCTCATCTCTTGCACTCAATCCTGTACCCTACCTCATTCCCAGCCTCCTTCCCTGCCCCCCAACATCCCAAGCTGCTGCCCTGACTCCTGCACACAATCAGCCCCCTGCCCTGAAAGACCCAGGCAAGACTAGGTAAGTCTTTTGGTGGACTGTATTAACTAAGTTTCTGCTTTGAACCAGATAGGGAATTTGGGTTTTTTCATTGATATTCCATGATATAATGAAATTCATAAGAGATGGGCCATTTTTCTGTTCTTGAAATGGAGTAGCTTTGCATGTCTGTTCCTAAAAACTTCTTTGCTTTTGCTGAGTAAGTTCTATATTCTGCCCTAGAAATGGCTGCATTTCATCTCTGGCTGTTACACAGGTTGAGGTCTGGTGTTTCTGGATAAAAGCACTACAGGCAGTCCCCGGGTTACGTACAAGATAGGGACTGTAGGTTTGTTCTTAAGTTGAATCTGTATGTAAGTCGGAACTGGTGTCCAGATTCAGCCGCTGCTGAAACTGATCAGTTTCAACAGCAGCTGAATC